GTGCGAGGTGTCCGAGGAGGGGGCCCAGGTGAAGTGGTGAGTGCCAGGGGCCTGGGGCCGGGGGCCTGGGACGGGGTGGGAGGCCTGGGCACCCCCAGAGGAGGCCACAGCACGTGCTGCCCCCCCACCGGCCAGGCTGAAGGACGGGGTGGAGCTGACTCGGGAAGAGACCTTCAAGTACCGGTTCAAGAAGGACGGCCGCAAACACCACCTGATCATCAACGAGGCGACCCTGGAGGACGCCGGGCACTACGCGCTGCGCACCAGCGGGGGCCAGGCGCTGGCTGAGCTCATCGTGCAGGGTGAGGCCCGCGGCGGGGGGGAAGCGGGGGGAGCACACGGCCCCACAGCCCAGGACAGGAATCACTTTGACACCCGAGCTTCACCGTCCTCACCTGTGAAAGGGGGAGGCCGAGGTTGCCCCCTCAGCGGGCAGTGGGAGGGTCCGGTGGGCCTGGCTAGTGCCACGCACACACACTTGAGGTCCCTTCACGTGCACACACGCATCTCACACACGCACACGCGTGCTTTCACATGCCCACGTGCTCTCCAAGGGATTCCCGTCCACACCCGCACACGCCCGCCCCGGCTCACCGGCTCTGCCCCGCCCCCTAGAGAAGAAGCTGGAGGTGTATCAGAGCATCGCCGACCTGACTGTGGGCGCCAAGGACCAGGCCGTGTTCAAGTGCGAGGTGTCGGACGAGAACGTGCGGGGCGTGTGGCTGAAGAACGGGAAGGAGCTGGTGCCCGACAGCCGGATAAAGGTGTCCCACATCGGGCGGTGAGTGTGCGGGCCATGGGCAGCAGAGGCTGGGACAGAGACGACAGAGAGACAGACTGACACACCGGGAGACGGAGACAGACCGAGAGACAGAGATGACAGAGAGACACAGAGAGACAGGAAGAAACAGACAGAGGGACAGAGAAAGAGATAGAGACGGAGACAGAAGTGGACAGAGATGGACAAAAAGAGACAGACAGGCAGACAGGCAGGACACAGGCTGAAATGGAAGGTAAGAAGAAGAGACGGAAAGACAGAGACAGGAAGCTGTGGGGAGACAGAAGCACAGAGGAGTCCCTCAGAGCCGGAGAGAAGCAGGGAGAGAGGCAGAGGGGCTTCGCCCTGCGCCCAGCCCCTCCCAGTGGTGATGGGGCAGGAGCCACGGGGAGGCCAGGCCTGGCGGGGGGCCCTCACTCTCTCCCACTCTCTTACTCATGCCCCGAGCATCTGGGCCGGCCCGTGCCGGGCCCAAGGTCATGGAGATTAATGAGACCAGCCTCTGTCCAGTCTCCAAGGGCCCAGCCTAGGGGACACTTCTACCCTGCCTACACGAGAGGCGCTGGAAAAGTCAAAAACAAAGAAAGCACTTAAAACACCAGAACCCCAGTGAGCTAGGAGGGGGCCAGGGCCCCCTGGAGCTCTGGCTGGGGTGTCCGTGGAGGCCAGGGGTGTGTGGCCCAGTGGGACCCTCTGGGCCACTGCTGCCCTGCAGGGTCCACAAACTGACCATCGATGACGTCACGCCTGCGGACGAGGCTGACTACAGCTTCGTGCCTGAGGGCTTCGCCTGCAATCTGTCCGCCAAGCTCCACTTCATGGGTGAGCTGCGCCCCGGGGGGCGGGGGGGCCTGTCAATGGGCCCTGCCTTTGCCCTGGTGCCAGCTGCTCTTCCTTCTCTTGCAGAGGTCAAGATTGACTTCGTGCCCAGGCAGGGTGAGTCTCAGAGCCCCTGTGTGCCCCCTCCTCACACCCCCACCCCCGCCATGTCTCTCCTCCACTCACAGAGAAGAACAGAGATCTGGGAGAGGGACCTTGAGACCCAGCCCAGCTCTGCCGCTCAGGACTATGGGCCAACGATAACTCTCAGCCTCAGTTTCCTCATCTCTAAAATGGGACCCTAATATTGTCTCCTCCATAGGGTGGTGGGAAAGAATAGAGGAGATGGTGTGTGAGCCATCAAATGGCAGCACAGATGTGAGATTTCACTATTTCTTTTCCTGCTTTTAGAAGAGTCCCTCCTACTTTCAGATAAAACTTTAACCAGGAGAATAGTCCAGACTGAGGCATGCTCTAGAGCAGTACCTTCCAAACTGGGTTCACTTCATATAAGATACTCCGTTCAGAGGGGTTCCGTGGTAAAGTAACTTTCGGGAATACTGAACACCTGCTCCCATGCCCCCTCTTGCATAGTTAAGAAATGTGCTTAATTTTGTTTAATCCAGGGTTTCTTAAACTGTTTGTTTGTTTGTTTTTCTGGCAGTACATTGATGTCCCTGCCCCTCCACCCCCCGCCCCCCAGCACAGTTTAAGAAATGCTGCACGAGGCATCCTGATAATACAACTTCCCCGGAACTTCCTGGAGTGATAGAATATTCTAGATCTTGATTGGGTGGTGCTTATACCAGTGTGTACATTTGTCAAAACTCTGCAAGCTGTATGCTCAGATCTCGGCATCTCCTTGTGTGTGAATTATGCCTCAGCAATAAAACAGCAGACAGAAGTGGACAGAGATGGACAAAAAGAGACAGACAGGCAGACAGGCAGGACACAGGCTGAAATGGAAGGTAAGAAGAAGAGACGGAAAGACAGAGACAGGAAGCTGTGGGGAGACAGAAGCACAGAGGAGTCCCTCAGAGCCGGAGAGAAGCAGGGAGAGAGGCAGAGGGGCTTCGCCCTGCGCCCAGCCCCTCCCAGTGGTGATGGGGCAGGAGCCACGGGGAGGCCAGGCCTGGCGGGGGGCCCTCACTCTCTCCCACTCTCTTACTCATGCCCCGAGCATCTGGGCCGGCCCGTGCCGGGCCCAAGGTCATGGAGATTAATGAGACCAGCCTCTGTCCAGTCCCCAAGGGCCCAGCCTAGGGGACACCCTGCCTACACGAGAGGCGCTGGAAAAGTCAAAAACAAAGAAAGAAAGCACTTAAAACATCAGAACCCCAGTGAGCTAGGAGGGGGCCAGGGCCCCCTGGAGCTCTGGCTGGTGTGTCCGGGGAGGCCAGGGGTGTGTGGCCCAGTGGCACCCTCTGAGCCACTGCTACCCTGCAGGGTCCACAAACTGACCATCGATGACGTCACGCCTGCGGACGAGGCTGACTACAGCTTCGTGCCTGAGGGCTTCGCCTGCAATCTGTCCGCCAAGCTCCACTTCATGGGTGAGCTGCGCCCCGGGGGAGTGGGGGGGCCTGTCAATGGGCCCTGCCTTTGCCCTGGTGCCAGCTGCTCTTCCTTCTCTTGCAGAGGTCAAGATTGACTTCGTGCCCAGGCAGGGTGAGTCTCAGAGCCCCTGTGTGCCCCCTCCTCACACCCCCACCCCCGCCATGTCTCTCCTCCACTCACAGAGAAGAACAGAGATCTGGGAGAGGGACCTTGAGACCCAGCCCAGCTCTGCCGCTCAGGACTATGGGCCAACGATAACTCTCAGCCTCAGTTTCCTCATCTCTAAAATGGGGACCCTAATATTGTCTCCTCCATAGGGTGGTGGGAAAGATGAGAGGAGATGGTGTGTGAGCCATCAAATGGCAGCACAGATGTGAGGTTTCACTATTTCTTTTCCTGCTTTTAGAAGAGTCCCTCCTACTTTCAGATAAAACTTTAACCAGGAGAATAGTCCAGACTGAGGCATGCTCTAGAGCAGTACCTTCCAAACTGGGTTCACTTCATATAAGATACTCCGTTCAGAGGGGTTCCGTGGTAAAGTAACTTTGGGGAATACTGAACACCTGCCCCCATGCCCCCTCTTGCATAGTTAAGAATTGTGCTTAATTTTGTTTAATCCAGGGTTTCTTAAACTGTTTGTTTGTTTGTTTTTCTGGCAGTACATTGATGTCCCTGCCCCTCCACCCCCCGCCCCCCAGCACAGTTTAAGAAATGCTGCACGAGGCATCCTGATAATACAACTTCCCCGGAACTTCCTGGAGTGATAGAATATTCTAGATCTTGATTGGGTGGTGCTTATACCAGTGTGTACATTTGTCAAAACTCTGCAAGCTGTATGCTCAGATCTCGGCATCTCATTGTGTGTGAATTATGCCTCAGCAATAAAACAGCAGGGACACATGCTCCTCCGGGTGTCCCCTCTGTCTCTGACCTGTGTGTGTCCCCACCCCAGAGCCTCCCAAGATCCACCTGGACTGCCCTGGCCGCAAGCCGGACACCATCGTGGTTGTGGCCGGGAACAAGTTGCGCCTGGACGTCCCTATCTCCGGGGACCCTGCTCCCACTGTGATCTGGCAGAAGACCATGACACAGGTGCCGTGGGTCCCTCCTCCACTTCCCATCTGTGAAATGGGTGTTTGGGACCAGTGAGCGCCGGGACCTGCTCCCCCCATGTGCATGCCCTCCGGTGGCCCCGGGCCGGGAGTGTCGAGATGCAGCTGGCTAGGTGATGGGCAGCAGAGGAGGCGGGCAAAGGAGAAACAGGGGCTGCGTCAGCCACCTTCCCCCTCCTTCCCTTCTGCTCTGTTCCCAGGGGAAAAAGGTCCCAGCTGGGCCAGCCCCTGATGCCCCAGGGGATGCAGGTGCCAGTGACGAGTGGGTGTTTGAAAAGAAGGTGAGTGAGGCTGGAGGTAGGACCCGGCTTGTTTGCACACGGTACCCACCCTTGGGCAAGGCCTCCAAGAAGGTGCCACATCTGGTCAGCGGTGCTCCTGCCCCAGGCAGGGTCTCCACGCACACACCACACACGTCTGTCCACGTTTCACCCTCCACATCGCGGGAAGCCCTCCTGCTGCTGGTCCTCTGCCAGCAGCCATGCAGGGACCCTCACAGTGGCTCTGTGAGGTCATGTTATTCCCGTTCAGCGGACAAGGAAACGGAGGCACAGAGAGGACACGGGGTTTCCTAGAGTCCCCGGCAAATCGAGAGCCCCGACCCCTTGCCCGTGGCACAGGCTCCACTCAGGCTGTGCCTCCCCCAGACCCTGTGCTGAGCTCCTTTCCCGTCTCGGGGCTGTTGGCCATCCCAGAGGCTGCAGAAGCTTCTGGAGTCCAACGAGGGCCCTTCCCCCCCACGTCCCCCTCCCCAGCTGCTGTGTGAGACCGAGGGCCGGGTCCGAGTGGAGACCACCAAGGACCGCAGCATCTTCACCGTCGAGGGGGCAGAGAAGGAAGACGAGGGTGTCTACACAGTCACTGTGAAGAACCCTGTGGGCGAGGACCAGGTCAACCTGACAGTCAAGGTCATCGGTGAGGCCGACTGGCCGGGGTCCGGGCGGGGAAGGAGGAGGGGCGACCAGGGAGGGCCCATCCACCGACTCACTGAGTCACTGAGCACACGTGGCAGGTCAGGCTCGCGGGTCCATGGGGAAGACGGGGACACGGGTGGACATGGGCAGTGGGAGCCATGAAGGGTGGTCCGAGGCTGGCGACATGACCAGAACTGCCTTCCAGAGGGTTGCTCTGGTTCTGGGGGTGTTTGGGGGGTAAGGGGATGAGCAACATTGACCCTGGGCCCGGGCAGGGCTGATGTGGGTCCCCAACTCCCCCAGATGTGCCGGATCCCCCTGCGGCCCCCAAGATCAGCAACGTGGGCGAGGACTCCTGCACGGTGCAGTGGGAGCCGCCCGCCTACGACGGCGGGCAGCCGATCCTGGGTGAGTGGAGGGCACCAGGGCCGACCCGAGGGCAGGGGTGGGGGTGCCTGGGCCCCCGACCACAGCCCCCGCTTCCCTTCGGCAGGCTACATCCTGGAGCGCAAGAAGAAGAAGAGCTACCGGTGGATGCGGCTGAACTTCGACCTGCTGCGGGACCTGCAGCACGAGGCGCGGCGCATGATCGAGGGCGTGGTGTACGAGATGCGCGTCTACGCGGTCAACGCCATCGGCATGTCCAGGCCCAGCCCTGCCTCCCAACCCTTCATGCCCGTTGGTGAGCCTGCCCCGCCGGGCGCTGCCCTCATGCCGTCCCCGGCCAAGGGGCTCGATAGCAGCTGCTCTGTGTGGGCGGCCACCACACTGGGCATTCACATCCCTGGTCTGTCATCTGAGATCGGGGGCAATCGCTCATCTCACAGATGAAACGAGTGAGGCTCCGAGAAGTTAAGCGACTTGCTCAAGGTCCCCCAGCTGGTGGGGCCGGAGCAGGGACTCACACCACCCTAAGCCTTGTCTCATCTTCGCGAGGCTCACCTTTCACCTCGGTAGAAGGGGGTAAGGACACCGACTTCACAGAACTGTTGTTAGGGCGACAGGAGTTAGTGCCGGCAGAGCTCTGGTCTACAGCAGGAGCTCAATAATGGCAATTGCCCCCTGTCCTCTGCTCCCTCCAGCCAGGGTTGTCACGGGTGAAACAAGGGGAGGGCAGTGGGTGTCTGAGGCCCGAGGCACGTCTGTCTGTGGGAAGGGCCCTGGACCAGGAGTCGGACATCGAGTTTGCCGAGCCGGCTCCATCGTCCCAGGAGGCCCGCCTGAGCCGTCGCCTCCCCGA